GTTTTATTTATTTATTTTTTTTAATTTAAATGTCGAAAACTGTAAGAAATTTATATATGTTTATAAATAAAAAAAAGATTTTAATATTAATGTTAAAAGTTATGACTAAAATGTGAAAAAACATTTTTTATCAAAATGCGTAAAACAATACTCTGTTCAGAAAATATCTTTACAAAAAAAAAAACGGAAAAATAGAAATTTTAAAAAAGAAGTTTTTAAGAAAAAGACATCGAGAATAAATTATTTCATAACCATTGTTTGCATAAAGTATTATTATTATTTTAATGGATGAAGTTGAAGTATTATTTTGAGTAAAACAACGTTTTACTAAAAAAAACATCTCTTTATAAAAAAACTCTTAAAAAACCAAAAAACAAAAACAATTACCGATTTTGAAAGAAGAAAGTATGATTTTAATATAAAAGCACTTTTTATTACAATATATATATATATATATATGTATATATATATTTCGGCTTTTTGATGAAATTTCCATCACCACTATCATTGAGAAACTTACTGAGAATCTCTACATCTTCGTGATCCAAATAACTTAAGAAAATTTGTTTATCTTTTATATTATGTTCGGGACACACGTAACAAATAAAAATAAAGATCTACCTTACAGTAATCAACAGCATTATTTTTAAAGATTATTGCATACAAGTTAGAGACCTGCATCACCTACTGTTAACAAATATTGACTGAACAAAGTTTGCGCTCATCAAGTCTAAAGCTCCGGTTGTGTAATTGAAAATTAATTAAATGTTTAGTTAATTGGATTTGATCGAAGTTACCTTTTACATTTCAGAAATTGACAAAATTATTACGTACGTAAAATCCAGGATTACAGAAAAGCTTTCTTTAATTGATTACAGTTCAAAAACAATTCCATATTTCAATAAGCTCTTTCAAAGAAGTTGATTTCGATATATCGATTGAAGCTTTCATAAAATCGACCAATCATTTGCGTTCGATGTGCCTCTGGATTAGGTAGCACATATGCAACACGTCAATCCGTCTGAATGCCTGAATGGGTCTTAAAATCGCGTGTGTTGGTTGATATGTGTGAGCTGTTGCGAGTGTGACTGTTCGACGACCGACTTAACCTTGATTTCGCCGAATTTTTCATACACGTCTAGAAAGGGAAAGAAATTTGGAACGCTGAAAGCTGTGTATAATTCTTTGTCAAATCTGGTAAAATAAAATATTTTTTGAAAAGGCTTAAAACTGAAAATGTGTTAATAATTTGTATAAATGAAAAGCATTTTTTATTTTTAGGAAAAGATATACATACGTCTAACAAAGTCAAGACATTACTGAGAAAACGTGTCTAGGACGAAATAATATCTCGTCGTGAATGACCGGCTAATTGAATGTATTGTTCAGAAGGTCTTAAGACAGTGGTGTGTTACGGAAAATCAAGAAAATGTTTAAGAAGTATGTGCTGTTTATTATAAGCATAAAAGGAGAATATTTTTAACATTAGGACATTTTTAACAGTAGGATATATTTTATGATAGAAAGTGCTCAGCATTTTGTTTTTTCAAGAATACCAGTTTTAGTCAATTTAATAAACAGAAATATTCAAGTTTTTATTATTACTCGGACATTACTGAAATATTCGCTAATTAATTGTGCTGTATGTTGATTAAATTCATCCCCTCTTAGATTCGATGAAAAGGACAGTGTTTCTGGCGTTCAGCAATTGAAGTCGTCTGTACAGAAAGGAATCCGTGCAAAGCTCTTGGAGTTGTATCCTCATCTAGAGAGTCATATAGATGTTATAATACCAAAGAAAGATGCTTTTCGTATTGTAAAATGGTAAGTTGTGATACATATATGTATGAAATTTATTTGTAATTTAACTTTTTTTTTCTTTTATTAGCCACGATCATATAGAGATCATAGTGAATACAGCAGGAGACCTGTTATTTTTTCGCCAACGTGAAGGTCCATGGATGCCTACTTTAAGATTACTACACAAGTGTGAGCCTTCTCATTAGTTGATCAAATGAGAACAAAATGTTTTAATTTTTTATTGTGATATACATACATTTTTTTCAGATCCATTTTTCCTTCCAATGCAACAAGTAGATAAAGGTGCCATTAGGTTTGTTCTTAGCGGCGCAAACATAATGTGTCCTGGTTTAACGTCAAAAGGTGCAAAGATGATGACTGTGGATAAAAAAACAGTTGTCGTATCCTTTTCAACATAATACAAATCTCCAAAATTATAATATAGTTACTTTATTTTTTCGAGACGACAAGATACAAATCCTTAACTTAAAACATAGGCTGTCATGGCTGAGGGCAAGCAACATGCATTAGCTGTTGGTATTACAACATTGTCAACAGAAGATATGTAAGTTGAAAATATTTTTTTCAATATGCTTTCAATTTGCATTTATTATGCTTTTGATCTCTCTTTTCCTATATATTTAATTTGTAATTTATAGTGCCAAGGTGAATAAGGGAGTAGGCATCGAAAACTGTCATTATTTGAATGATGGACTTTGGCAAATGAAACCAGTGAAGTGAGACTGAATGTACTGTGAATTCAGGATATAATCAAAGAATCATTTTACATACAAATGTTCTTTTATCCATTTTTACTTCGCCATGTAATAATTTCATATGGAACAATTTCTGGACAATTTTTGTGTCCACAGTTACAGGTCATAATAAAACCAAGTTTATTATTATATTTTTATCATATAAATTAAAAAATTACGAGTATTTCTGCTGGCGCAAGGATACAGAGATATATGTATCGTGTAAACGAAAATCTCCAAATCTAGAATAGCATTTGTAAAATAAAAAATATTTAAACAGATCCCGATTTAGCGTCTACCTGGCCCTCTTGATTCTCCGGCGGACCGGTACGTTCGCTCTCGCAGTGTCCTGTGGGTGCAGAATACGGAGGATTGTTGGTATCTGGCCCAGGTGCGGGAGCTACGGCGGCCGTTGTGCCACCTGCGACGTTGGCACCAACGTTATTACTTTCAGGAGCGACTGTATGAGGCGACTGCGGATGGTAATGTGGACTGTGCGGACTATGTGGACCATGACCATGTGGCCGACTTATCGGATGGGGATACTGCGAATACGGCTGATGATAATACGGATGAGTGTATTGCGGATAAGGTTGGTGATACGGTTGTTGCTGAGAATAGCTGTAAGTGGGATGCGGCGGTCTTGGAGCTAATGGAACATTCTGCGGTTGTTGAGGGCCTGGCCCGGACTGATACTGCTGACCGTAAGCCTGATTAGGCGGCATCATTTGTGGAGCATGTGGTCCCTGCGGCGGCAAAATTTGCGTGCTCTGAGTACCTTGCGCACTCTGATGTGGTGGCATCGAATGATTTGGCAACATCTCTTGCTGGTGGGGATTGTGCTGAATGGGCACCGTAGGCGTGGACACCGGTGGCATGTTTGGCGGAGCCGAATTTGCAGTTGCATTTGCACTCGCAACTACTGCCGCGACTGCAGCCGCTGCTGCGGCTGTTGTAGTCGGTTGTTGCGGCGGCATCACCGGCGGTAGCGGTGGTTGTTGCGGCTGCAGTTGGGGTTGTGGTGGTTGCTGCTGCTGCTGTTGTTGCGGTTGTTGAGATTGCGGTGGCTGTGATGGTGGCGGTTGTGGAAGTACTTGATGCTGCTGGGGTAGTGGCGGCTGATGCTGCTGAGGTGGCTGTGGGGGTGGTTGATGCTGCTGTAATGGTGGAAGAGGTTGATGTTGCTGAGGAGGTTGATGCTGTTGAGGAGGTATCGGTTGGTGTTGAGGCGGCGGTGGCGGTGGCGGATGTTGCATCGGTGGGGTTTGCGTCTGTTGCTGATGCGGATGTTGTTGGATCGGATTAATTATGTTATTGCAATACATCCCAGAGTTAGTAGGGTGTTGTTGATTAGCATTTGCTTGCACTGCTGATGGTGGTTCGATCTTATTATCGGTATATGGAGGTGACATTTTCTTATTCATTTCAATATTGGGTTTCTCGGCGTTGCCAGATTTCTTCTCGAGCGAATCATTATCAGAGACCTGTACAAATAAGACGGTATTAATATTTCTTTGTACAACGTGTTAATATTTATGTAAACTATTTATGCGTTATTTAATGTTATTACATCAGGTTGGCTCTCATCATTAAGTGATGCAGGAGTTGGAGTCGGAGTGGAATTTGGAGTAGATTCGCTAGACGCTGGTCCATCCGAACGATTCTCTTCTGTTCCTTTTAGTCTTTCTCGTCTTAGAACATCATACTGCCGTTCTACCATTTTGTTAAAAGTTTCCTCATCTACCGCTGGTTTGCAATGCTGAAAGAGAATTATTATTATTGTGTTTCCTGCAATATTATTAATCTCTTTAAAAAAATTTTATACTTTTTTCAATTCTTCTTGAAATATTTCACTAGTTTCTATGAATTTACGTTTCTTGGCTTCAAATTTCTCTTCAATTTGTTGCAATTCGGCTTCAAGTTTTTTCTGGAAATATTCAAAATATATTTCAATATATTCAATTAGATATTATTATAAAATATATTACATTAATTACCTGATGCATAGTTAGGGATTGTACTTGGCGACGCAAAACTTGCATTCTTTGAGTAGTGACTACAGAGCGAACATCAGGGACAACTGTGTCACTAAAAATCTCATTAATGAGTCGATGATTTCTTGTATAACGCGAATATGCCACATGTTTCACTGAATATCCATCGTCTTGATCTATTAATTCAAAATAAGTACTATTGTAATAAAAATATATATTAAACATTTATAATCACTATTACTTATGTACCATCTTCATCTTCAGCTGGTAAAATATCAATCCTTCTATCTTGAGCCGCTTGACTTTTGCTACTGCCTGATGAACGTTCATGACTCTCTCGATCATCATTATTTTGTTGTGCAGCACACAATGCTATTTTAAATACAAAATATTATGAAGTTATTGAACTATCATAGATTCTACTACGAGTCTTAAAATTGCATTTGTTATACCTACCAGACTTGCCACGATTTTTAGCTGCAATATAAGCTAGATATGCTGGTGAGTTGTGGTAAGTTTTCAAACTTTTTTCGTATTCCACCTATGTTAAATAATGTGTGAATGAGTCAATAACTCTTAGAAGTATATAAAAATATAGTAGAATGCATTTTGTCTACCTTCTCAGCTTCGTACTCCTCAATAAATTCTGTCTTATCCTCTTCTGGCAAATCTCTCCACATTTGCCCAATAATCTTACCAATCTCCCATAACTTTAACTCAGGATTCTGAGCTTTAACCTGATCCCATACCTTTCTGCTGTATCTCATATAGGGCATAAGAGGTTTCTCTGGTGGCTTGGGTGGTTTTGGCATACGAGAATCAGCCTAATTATAAAAATTATAAAATTTTACAAATAATCAATCTCTTTAATAATTAATATATTGATATAATATTTTATGTAATCTATATTACAATTGTATTTTTAAGTTTTGTACAAAATGAGATACATACATTAGTGTTCTTTCCAACTTTCTGAGGCGTGAATCCTGGATGACTATGTGGGGTTTGTACAAATGGGCTCTGTGAATCTTTCTAAACAGATTTCCTCGATTAAACTCAAGACTCATACAAGTATATTTCATCGTAAGTTTGTCTACTTACACTATTTGTTGAACTGCTCGAACTTCCACCAGATGCTCTCATGCGTTCTGCAAACAACAAATATATAATTTAAATACATACTTCAAAGCTAACTGTCAATTTCAAGCCTGGAAGAGAATAAACATTATTTTACTTACGGTTGGAGGCTACGATGTTCGAGGTAGCCATCGCGACTTGCTTGTAATTCGCTGGCAGTGCCATTTTGTATTATGACACTTGAACAGGGAAAAAACTTCACCAGGAGAACAGAGCAAAGGTCTCTGTGAAGTATTTCTGACGTCGACGTTGTCGTGGCTAACACACGCCGACTTCGGAAATGTTTAGAAATGATATTCGCGATTAAAGTTCCGGTAAGTCCGACCGATTGACATGCGTTGCTACCATTGACGATGCACACACCCGTGTAGAGTTTGGGTTGAGAGTAAACTTTCGAGAGATTCCCAGACAGCTCCGAATCGATAATTCACAATGAGACGCGCGAATATCCCGTCACACTCTCGAGAGATTTCGCGGGAACTCGTGGAAGAAAAAGAAGAAGCGTTTTTTTTATATACGTTTCGTTTTCCTTCAATTTCTTGCACTTTGCAAATTTGCTTGCATTCGTGGAGCATTCGTGGAGCTTGCTAGAGTCGCCCCCTATTGGAGTGGCCATGCCATGCCCGGCGCCCGGGATTTTAACTAGCTCTGTCTTTAGGTATGTCGCGTTTTGCTTGAATTCCCATAAATTTTTCAACCTAAAATGAGATAAATATAAATTTATCTGTTAAAAAAAAGAGAAAGCGAAGATGCTGAGTGCAAAAGGTGCAAGACGCGAACAGACCTCTTATTTTGAAGCGCCTCTATGTCTAAAAAATGTGGACGTTGAACTACGTAACCAATATCAATGATCCCGTCGGTAATGTCCACAACTTTTTTGTCTATATATAAATTTATCGATATTACAATTTTATCAACAGTGTTGAAAATGTGATACGTAGTTCACATCACTTACAAAATTGATGTTGATACCGCTAGTGTACGGCGATATCCGAATGTTTACGCGAAAATGGCGGGATAGCCTTTTTCAGGTTTCTCTCTGTTTCTGCAAAACTAATTGCATTTAGATTATAGGCAGTCATAGGTATGTAATAATTGTTAATGCAGGTTCTTTGTATTTTCTACAAAGATCTTTCATATTCTAATCTTTTATTAGAAGTCTTTTAATGTTCAGTCTATCGAATGTTATTTATTAACCTTGAAAAGAAATCGATATGTTAGAAATACATAATGTCATTTAAATATGTAAATATGAGAATAATACAGAAATTCTTAATGTCTATATAAAGATCGAAAGTTATTGTATTATTCAAATTAGCGCACTACAATTGTAGCTTTTTGGTTACCTAATTTTGCTATATAACGCTATAATTTAACCTTATACTTTTAAAATATTTATTTAAAATCATTAAATTATTTATTTTTAAAATATCCCTGACATACTAATTTTAAAAATATTGAGGGACACAAAACACTACGTATTATATATTTATGCTCAATCAAGTTAAAATCCAATAGATTAGAACTTAAAAAAAAGTATCCTTTGTTTTTATTTGGGGACCTTGGAAATCGGAGCTTCATGAAGAGTGTAAGTTTTATAATTTCATAAAGTAACTTTATTAAATTTGTACAATATCTGCGGCTGTGTGCTTTGAATAGGCAGTGCTTCAAATGATTACGTGATCTGCTAAAAAAAATTCTTGCTTCTCTGCTTCATCTAACAGATTTATTCTTATATCATCATCTATCTGAAGACTGTATCTTCCTAATCATATTCTCATCGTCAGTATGTATACAATAGATATATTCAATTTGTATACAATATGTCATAGATTGGTTTTGGCAGGTAATGATTGCACAATGCCTGCATTCTTTCACTGCGTGTCACAGGTGTGTACCGCCGCATAGGGAAAGTCTTTACTACAGCGTCTATCAGGGTTCTCGTAACTGCTGTTAAATCAGCCTCTGGTCCTTGGGTGTACTTTTCTAGAGCCAGCATTTCTGCCTGAAATAGCTCCTGACCGTATTCCTTGCGAGTTTGAGGATCCAATTGAGTCCACATGTCTTTAGCTTGCTCGAGCAGCGCGGTGTTATCTTTCAGCCATGCATTACCAGAGACGTATTCTCCAGTTTCGACGATCACAACGTCGACACCCCATCTCCGCATCTCCAATCTTAGGCACGATCCCCAAGCTTCTACAGCAGCCTATATAAGATATATTTATAATCTTTTATTGATCTACTCAAGCTTTATTAATGTCCTTCCAGTTTTATGATTATATATACAAATAGACAAGCCACGCTTGACTACGCGTGCAACAAAGAGGATTTACCTTAAGGGCACAATAAATGCCTCGGACAGGACTCGGTATCCGTGCCAAAAGGCTACTAACAAGAACGATTCGGCCCTTTGACCTCCTAACCAGAGGAAGAAATACCTGTTACAAAGAAAGAAAAGAGAATATTGCGCGAACATTCTGACATTTTTTGTAATGTTTTACAGTACCTGAGTTAAACGTGCAAGGCCAACGAAGTTGATATCTATGCTTCGCTTGAGAACAGATGGGGGCACCCACTCGCATTCTCCGAGAGTCACCCAAGCAGCAGCATGCACGAGTGCCCATAATCCTGAAATAACGTAGCAACGATGACGTAGGAGTAATCCGTTACACCGATAATCTCAGGAAGCTTTAAGAGATAGGACGATATACCAGGAGCTCCGTCAGGCAAGTTTTCATTGACGTAAAGGAAAGTCGAGTGTATATCGCGTTCGCTGGTAATATCTAATTGTAGCACGTGCAATCTTCCAGACGCGTGGTCTTTCAACTTCTGCATGATATCTTCATTCTCGGCTTTATTACTGAATCCAGCAAATACCGTGAAGCCCTTAAAAAAAGAGAAATCATAGACGTCTTTAAATTATTCAATTGATTATACTAGAATATATATTTCACATATAATTACCAAATCATCTAGCTGTTTAACTAAAGCATATCCGACCCGTGAATCGCAACCTGTGATTAGTACTGCCTTTCCTGCTGCAGTAACCTGTTGCATCAAGTAGACTGTTAGGAAAATAGTGTTTATAACTTATTGAATCATGATCTGATGTAATGAAGCTTTATAATGCTTTTGATAATCTATTGAAAGCTATTGATCGGGCGATGACGATCTCAAAGTTCTTTGTACAAAAAAAAAAGAACGTATGAAGCCGGAAGTATGGTATGTAATGAGAACAGGTGCATTATGCAACGTTTGTAAAAAAAGGTCAAAGGTCTCGATCAGGCCTGTATAAAATTCTATGAAAATTCCGATATAGAGGGCCTTTGAACTTTCAAATAACAAATATGACATTATAAAAGGTTGAGGACATATGATTTTCATTATAGGCGTGCAATAATTTAATTTTGAAGGTCAGAATAGTTTACAGAGTTTTTTTATATATAGTTGTAGTAAAGTTTTTATATAAAATTATTAGGAAAAAAATGAATAAAGTATTAATGATTTGCGTTATACAATGCAAGTACCTTACCTTTAGATTATGATAGAACAATGTAGACCCTACGGATATGACCAATAGCAACAAAAAGAGTACGAAGCTAGATGTCTGTGAGATCCCAAAGGTGTTTAATATAGTTGCCAGGATGACTGCAATTGCATGTGAAAATGCAATGGGTAATAGACACCTCTCTGCTAATTCCCATGTCTGACTGTCGTCGGCCTCTTTGCTTCCATTCGACGGCATTCTTGATTCAAATTTTCTATCAAAATCTTAATCAAACGTGATTGACTCCATTCGAATAAATTGATGTAGCTCACCGAGGAACCCTAACTGGGCTATGCCTGAGCTAACTTTAAACTTAAAACAGCATCTAGTCTCATTGATCTAAATATAACTACAGTGCTGTGTCTTAAATTCAAAATTCCTTGCGGATTGAAATACTTGAGAATCGAATTTGTAGTCTTAGTAATTAATATTACATTCTGCATACACATTTCTGCACACACATTTCTTCGTAACATTATAATAAATAATAAAAGTATATATATTATATATATGTATACGTTACAATAAAAAATTTTAATAAAAAATTTGTATAAAATTTAATTAGCTTAGATTAATGATTGTTTAAAATATACATGCAATATATATAAAATTTAATTTATTAAAAAATTAATTTTATTATAGTAATGAATTTTGTGTTTAAATATTCTGTATACTATATACCGTTATTTATTATTAAAATAATAAAAAGTGCTTAAAATTCTCTATTGTATTCTATTATCTGTTCTTTCGTGGCACATGTATAGTTTTTATATTAAAACGTTTCAAAATAGCGCAAAATAGTAAGTTCTATATTTTTATCTATATTCATTCTTCGAATAAAATTGCAAATATCCGTTCCAATTTCATACATTATCAGAACAATATATCTGAATCTCGCGGATTCGCAGAATCATTTTTATTGGTTTTTATTTTCAATCTCCTTCAGTTTTCAAAGAAGTGGATCGATTGACACGTGTCGTGAATTATCTCATCAATCCGTGTATTTTGCATCGGTCCTCTCTGGTGACGGTCGTGCCGGAGTATTTTTGTAAATTTCTCGTCGGCGCTAATAAAAAATGAGCGCGGCTGTGACTGGAGTGGGGTAGGTTATTGATTTCCGCGTAGGGGTGCTACGGCAGAGGGTTGGATGGATAGGCAGAAGTGGGTGGGGTAGATGCTGTGTCGGGGTGTCTCTCGTTTTGCGCGTATATACCTGCTAGAGAGTCTACAGGGGGTATAAATAGAAGGGGTAGTTGCACCGTTGACCCAGTGTTGGGTTGACACACGGTCAGTTCAGTCACTCAAGGCATCACATACACTTCACTCTCATTCTTTCTGTCTTCGTCGCGTCGCACAATCGCCGCTGTCTCCACCTTCTATTAATTTTTTATCCGCGTAAATTGTTGAAGGAGAAAAAAAAGGAGAGGTCTCGCTCAAGTCTTCGTTGATCCTCCAGGTCAATCCAACGCAATCTTCAGCACTGCCCTTTCATACCTGTTTGCTTCTTTCGAGCGATACAATTTTTTATTCGGAGAATATCGTCTGACAGCGATACGCGACTGCAACCTGGTGCATATAATCGTCAAAGAGAGCTATTCTTTGACGCTAAAAGAAATTCGAAACAGTGCTTGTACGCACTGTGTTCATTGTAATTGTGTTCGTTACATTTCTCACACGTAAGGGCGTATTCCTTTGTCATCGTCGGGCAAACGGGTCACTCGAATTTTCCCGACACATCGTCGAGACACGGACCAACTAATGTGCAACGAGAATCAGGCCTTAGCAGGAATCAGTTCTCTCTTAAAGAATAATTCCTTTCTGACTTAAACGGTTGCACTTATCATCGGGGATTCCCAGAAATTCCCAGTAACGTGATATTGAACTGAAACTGAACTGAATTAATCGTCAGCAATTAGCAGAATTGAAATCTGTTCTCGTTCACCGATTGTGTAGAAGAAAGATGTCAGAAACAACCGGAGTCATGCAGGGAATAGGATGCAATCCTTACAAGATAGTTGATCACACTAGGGAGCGAAGAAAGGGCATCACCGCCTCGTCGTTGAAAGAGTTGACTAACATCGCACGCAGTCGATTGGCAATCCCCGTGGATGCGGATCTGACGATCGTGCTTGAACAGGATGGTAAGGAAACGTTCATATGACAAAACATATATAGCAATTGTTAATTCTAATAGCTCGCTTCAATATTGGAAGTATACAATGGTTTGTTGCGAAACACGTGTTATAAGGATCAATCACTGTATTGTAGGGCTTGCTATTGTACGTTTAAATGAAACACGTATAATTAGTATATATCCGTTTATTAGAAACGTTTTTCCGAATATACGTGTTTTAAGAGCTCGCTATTACACGTTTAAACGAAACATATTTAACATTCATCTATGAAAAATATCTTTCCGAATATTTTCACGTTTTTTTTTAAATAAACGTTTATCCCTTTATTAAGGAATCTTCTTAGTGTGATGGGTTGAAAAAAATCGAAAATTTTTTTGAATGTAAAAACGTTTCAGTATAGTAAAAACAGAAAAAATATCTATATAAAATAACATTAAAACAATATATTCGGAAAAACGTTTTTAATAAACGGATATGCTAATTATATGTGTAAACGTTTTTCTGAAAGTGAATATAAACGGATGAACGTTTCACATTCACACATATCTTCAAAAAACGGAATAAAATGAAAGCCTTATTATATTGTTTTTATAGGGATGGTAATTTTACATGCTGATAAATGTTACAGGGACAGAGGTAGACGATGAGGAGTATTTTGCCACGTTAGAAAAGAATACAAGCTTGATGATATTGCACGGTGATCAAAAATGGATCGCTGCGGGCAGTAATACACCGTCTCGTTTCCACATCGTGGACGATGTAGACAATGCGGAAGGTGGTTCAAGAATCGACAAGATTCGACGACGGCGAACACCCATTGAGCCGCTGGTCTCGTCGCTGCACGGCGACCCGTCGCATATCTCGCTCCTAGGAGGAAACGACTTGGAATTACTCAGTGACATGGATCCTGACAGTTTAGCCGACATAGTGCCTGACAGGTAAGCAATGGACAATTAGACTGACTTCGATCGCACTTCGATTAATATAGTTAATTCGATCAGTTTTCTAACTATGCGATTCGTCTTTAGTCTAATCTTTCTTCAAATGTGTCAACAACAAATAACGGACAATAAATACAAAATCATTAATCATTAAAATTGAAAATTAATGATAATTTTACTCATCTTAACAAAGTACTACGGGTACTTGATAAATTGAAACTTCATAAATTAATAGCTGATCGAATTAATTAGAGTTTGAAGTTATCTCAGTTATTTAATATAACATACTTTTTACCATCAAGACATTGCTATTGATACCTTATGATACTTGATCAAATGATTGTCTTAGGGCAGCGTCATTAATTTCTCTGTTTCAATCTTGTTACAGACACTTCCTTGAGCAGCTGAAGGAAGCTTCAGGTAGATTCTTGGCTGAAAAGCGACAAGCGCAGGAGTCCATGGCTCTTCTCCAGATGTACGCGAGCGGTGGTGAGATGGAGCGAGCGTAGGCCATGTGGGGGGTGGGCGCCCTCACATTAGCAAATATGTATAGAGTGCGACGTCGCATATTCTATAAAGGTCGCCAACTACAACAAACTCTGATCCTATTCTGGAATTGAGCCCATCGTTATTTACACAAACTGATAAAGTAACTGAGAATACACGAGCGTTAGTCGCTCAAGCTGAACGCAGCTGTATCAGTGAGGAAGATCTTATGTTATCTCTCGCGTATGCGAAGAACACGAAGAAACGCAGAAACAAAGACATTGTACAGAGATACGAAACACAAGTAGTTTACGTTCGCCCAATTTAGTACCGTAACATCAATAATAATAATAATAAATAATAATAATAGTAATAGGTTTCGCATCTTAGAGGAAATGGTAGTTTTAAGTTTTTTGTAGAATTTTTTTAATCTATATACATACGAGATTCAGTGGCACAACTATGCTTTGGCAATACTTTACTTATCCTTAGTAAGCGTATGGAATTGCTTTAATACAACATACAAGAGAGATTATCTTGCTGTACTGGCAGATATACACGCGCAATTTAACCTGCTAATTTGAATAATACATAAGAAAGAAAATCAACCCGCGCGAAAGTAACACATTCCAGAGTGGATATTCCCGTCGCGATATTGCCATATCAAGTCTTAGCGAAACGGGTTTTGTTTATGGAATTTTTGTACTTAGATACGTCATACCGAGATTTGGTTCAACGAAGATCGATGAAATATTTAAAGACTGAATTTATAGGGAAAACGAAAACCACCACCATTGATATCACCAATTCATTGTACACTAACATTAACGACATAATAGCGACAAAAGTCGATATCAGTCCTTTGATACCAAGCAAAATTGTGCTATTTGATAAAAAAAAAAAAAGAAAAAGAACACGTGGTAATCTGCAGCAAAGAAAGAACATAAGTGTTTCTGACAAGACTATGCATACACACTAGGTACTAAATATTACTCTATAATTTTGTGATTACATAATCAATAATCCAAATAAGCAATGCCATATTTACATTTATGTATTCTTTGGAAGTCACGAAATCAAAGTATATTATATACATTTACTATCAATTTTTTTAAAACTGTAACACAAAACGCAAAGTGTATGTCTACTCTCCGCAGAAATGCTCCTATATCAATATCGTGACGTTCTTTAATATACACATATTACATATACATATATCGTAATATAATTATCACCAGTCTCTTGCGCACTATATCGCATTATACATATTTGTATTAGAATTCGTGTCACCACTCCGATTGAAATTTACGAAATGATAGGCGAGATAATAGCCAGTATCAAACTACTTGCTATTTCGCTGTATGATCAAATGTATTGTTAAATATCAGGCGCAATACGTTTTGTTCCACAGATCGATCTTAAGGTATTAGTTTATAATGAATTGATGTGATTGATACTATTCTCGAAATGAGATAACGCGTTGGAAAGTATAAAAAGGACACATTAAATAGTACTGCCAGTTATAAAGGAAAGATTGATTAATGCTCAACAATGTTCCAGATCTCAAAGAGGAAAGCGTATTTTTTTTTTTAACACCGGCATCTAATGTGCGGTACCATGAAGGACATGAATATGGCATTATATACTAAGTACATACCTGTTATTCATTGCTACATGTATATCTTAAGAATAGAAACGCACTTAATAAGTTTAGCAAAAGTTAAATTTTAACGGAATGCAAGAAGTTGTCGTCTATGAGTTGATGTAGAGTGTCGGAGGCATCCTTCACCCGACCGGATGCATTGCGCAATTGACACACAGCCTCTTGTAACACCAATTCACTTCTCAGCAATTGTCGATTAACAGCTGACAATTCTTGTACGCTGGTTGTGATCGCGCCCTCGGTCATTTGCAGAATGTCTTTATCCAAGGTTTCATTGCATTCGTCTGTTTAACATATGTCAATTTAAATGATGTTCAAAATTAATAAGCGATACGTATAAATATATATACATATATCGATTTTGTGTTTTAAGATACAATATAATTTAATGTCTTTCATAAATACTGTTTTATAAAAACTTATAAGAAAATTCTTTGTACAGTATAACTTATAGATAAACATTGTAATTATGCGAATGTATCTGTGCAGTAAATCGAAATTAATTTAGAGATACAAATCACACACACTGGAAAATAAGTTATCAACAATTCCATACATGAACAATCTCATAATACTGTTTAGCTATAGTTACGCACATTGTACTGCTGTAATATTAATAAACGAATGTTATAACAAAAATGAAATTCGTATTTTGTAGCTATTTTATTCAACATATGATGCAATATATAATTTACAATACTTTATGAATATATAGCTTTACTTAATAATACTTTAATGAATAAAAAAATAAATATGAAATAAATTAGGTAATATGATTATAAATATTTAAAAATATATAATCACTTACATAATTTTTTGTGAAGCAGACTATTATACTTGATAGAACTTTTTTTAGATTTTGGTATTTTAAGATCCATGTAAGGAGGACATGCCATGGCATCTACCGCTCCACTAACGCTACTTAAACTCGTTAAATCTATGAATAAAAATTGGATGTTAATTAGATCCTTATAAATTTAAGAAGAGTTAATATCAATAAAACTTACCATCATCAGATTCTGGAGCTTCGCCTGAGATAATGGTACCACAGTATGTAGATGGTGTTCGCATTGTAGGGAATCCTAGACCCTGCATGTGATAAAATTTCTAGATAATACTTTTTAAATTAATTACATTTAATATAAAATATATAATATAAATCATCGTCAGACTCTGGAGCTTCTCCAGAAACAACTACAGCTTTTAAATCCATTTTTTAAAAGAAAATGTGGTATTTATAATAAAATTTTCATAACACTGCAAAGAAAAAAATATATATTAGTACACAAATGTAATTAAAAAATTGAATAGTATCATAAGAAATAATTATCTTTCGATTCACACATTTATTGTTTATTTAATGAAGTTTGAAAGATTTTATTTCTATTTATTGTTATTAAAATCTATGTAACGACATTTAATGCACATATATATAATAAATTAGTTACCAATATATTATCAATTTGAGGTTAGTTCTATTATTAAAAACATACATGATTTGTAGATTGTTATTTTTGATTGTTTCAATAGGTTTCGCTCTGATCTCAATAAGAAAATAATACACTTGATTTAAGACAATACGATCTTTTATTTTTCAAGTTTGTTTATAATTAGTTCCGAAATATTATACTGTTACAATTTTTGTACCACATATCACTGACTAGCTAACCAAAGACTTTTAGATATGAATATCTTTTATTGAAAGCATTATCATTTATCACGTACATTTTTAATGCGACATTTGTATTTAGTAAATAGAATTATCAAAAAAAAAAAAATATAAAATATGTGAATGTATAACATATATTTGATGTGCGTGTGTATAAATTAAACTGATTTTAAATATGAGACTGAATATTAAATTGCTTTATATTTTATTTTATATATTGCAAAAAAAGCTTATTTACTTTTTATTTTTAAGTATTTTTAATTTGTATAGTATGTTATATATAAATTTACATTTATGGACATATCTATTCCTATATAATTTATCACAATAGAGAATCAACTTTACATTTACAAAAACATACATAGTTTTATATCTTCTCTTATCAATACATAAAAAATTACATTATCCACGAAGAATATCTAATTCCTCAGGTGTGACGTGCATTCTTAATTCTTTTTCGCGAATCAGATCTTGAATCTGTGTGAGTAGTTGAGATGCTACTTCAGCTGCATCTATATAAATACTTTTTGCCCATGGACATTGTGTGATGCTTTCATGATAAATCTCTTCTCCTTTTTTCTCACATAAATTATGCTCGCGCAGAAGGAGCATATACAGTCTCCACAGCAATGGACAACATCGTATCGATGGTATTCTGAAAATAATTTTATATATTTTATAGCATATACTATGACATTTGTGTATTTAAATTTATTTTACAAGAATTTAATTATATTATAATTATATACCTGGAGAGTGTTAGATGAAATGATAATAGCTTATTCAGTGCAGCATTTACTGCATCATGATGATTAAGTTTCATTAAAATACCAATACGTCTACGAGCAGCCAGACACATCGCCATGGCTCGCCACAATTCAATCTCGGTGCTTCTACTATTGAATCTCCAAGTTGGTAATTCACTCTGAAAAAATAATTATTTTGTAATTCTGTTATCGATTTAGAAATATTTTACAACAGTTATTACGATTTCATTACATAGTATTAATGTAACATAATGCTTTTTACCTCTATGCTAGCGAATACAGATAAAGCATAAAAGTTATTTGGATGTGTATTTAAAATTCTGCTTAGAGTTTCTTTTAACATAGCCTGCATACTCTTAGTCCGCTCATAATGTAATTGCAGAATTGCAATTTGACTTTCAAACAACATTTCCTGCAAGTTAAAAAATTTTTTGTACATAATTGTTTAATTTAAATTTTTTTATTAATAACTTTTAATTGTTTATTTAAAAGAATATTAAATTAGTACCTGTAAGTAAGGATAATCCTTGGAATGATCAATACAGTTTCTCAACATATTGATAACAGTTTGGATATCACTGTCTTTAATGTATAGAAAGTATGCATAGCATACGATAGCATCACATTCCAAGTTTGATAGGAATAAAGTATTCTTTTCTTTTTCATTAGGAGGAACTTGCAGAAAATTTTGTACATACGAATGTAAATATGCTTCTATCAATGATTCTTGATTTTCGTTTTTGTTAGGTATCATTTGACCAAAAACTTTTAGTATCCATGATCTGTGCGATTCGTTGTACGTTCTAATATCAAGCAAGGTCTCGATGAACGTTCTATATACACTAAAAAGAGCTGCTTTTTCACACATATTGGTAATTGCAGATGGACATGTCCCTTGAGATTGAATAGCGGTTTCAAGAATGTTCATACAGTTACTGAATCTGCCCATTTCTAGTTCTATTAAAGCATATTCTTTATAGAAATATAAGTTATTTCTGTTTTCATCCTTTTTTAAAAATTCTTTTAACGTTGCCCTCAATTTTTTTCCTCTGCAACGAAAAAAATTGATTAATCTTTCATGCGGAATTAAAACTATTAAAATTTAGGTAAATATGAATCTTACTTATTGTCGTGTTTTAAAGGTTCATCTTTACCAAGAAAAACTAGTAATCTTTCCAATCGCAGCCACCAGACATATATACTTGTTCGTTCTAATAAAGGCAGATTCTCCGCGATCGTATGAAATATTTTGCGTACAAAATCTAAATATGGTTCCTGTGCCGGATGAAACTTGAGATATTGAGGACCTGACGTTAAACGTCCTTCGAGAACATCCTTCAATAATTCCTTCCTTTGATCATGACCAGCCATTTCGCCTACCATAGGATACATAAATGGAAGCAATATTTCTACAGATTCTACTCCCCAATGAAAGTTTTTCAACAATAATTCCTAGAAAAATATAAAGTATTTTTTTAAATTTATATTTATATACTTGTTTATAATCTTATTTAATAAATAAAATAATTTTACTTACTTTGATATAGTAATCTCGACAAGGTAGAAGTGGTACTTTCAGACATAAAAGAGAATAAATAGCCATTTGAAAGTTTGAATTACGGGAAAGAATTGGATGTATAAAGTCTGCTACATCTTCTGGTATAATAAATCTTCTAGAATCGCCAACTAATTCTAATTCGTCCTTACTAACGCTAATCCAATGGCAATTTTCTCTCAATGACTCTGTTCTTTGCCATAGTTGATTTAATGGTAATCGTGACATTAATATCATCTCTTCCATTTCAACTGAAAATTAGTATTATTATTTAAATACTATTAGTGTCAGTAATATTAATAGCATATATTTTAAATATTTTAATATTGTAAGACTCCCATTAAGTTTTTTTTTGAAAAATTAATGATATATTTTATACTTATTATATATATATAATATATATATATGTAGGCATTTTTTACATTTACCTCCTCAATAATTATCATTAACTTATTATATAATGTCAACAATATTTGGCATAAGTAAATAACTTGAAATATTTCCTGCAATTTGAATAATCTTAATATAGAACAATCTTAACAGAAGTCTTTTGTTGTAACTTACAATATTTATATACTTACTTAATTTTTTTTCATCTATAGATCCTCTAAAGGATAAACTATCTCTGTTTAAGTTTAGATTCAAATTTAGATTTAAACGTATTGTTTCCCACATTTGTTCCCATAATCCTGTTTGTCTGAGGAAAATCAAGGATCGATACAGCATATCTAGATAAAATATAATGTATCGAATTAATAAGATATGTGAAAGAAATATATAAGATTAAAGTGTTTGTCAAACGTATACTTACGCAGTAACTGTGCATCATAAATGGAAGGATTTGTTCTTGAGCGCTGTCTCAAAACACAGACGCATTTTGAATATAAATCCAATACTCGGGGTACAGTACACATTGCTACTGAACCTTGTGTGACCATGATAAAGTGTTGCCACAGCATGACATTCCCTGAATCTTTATTGACTAATATCTCTAATTGATTCGATAGTTCATCAGATGGTGTCAATTCTGTCATAAAATGTAGTTTTAATTTTAACAATTTGTTAGAATCTGTATTTTTCTCAAGGGCTTTTTCAACAATAGATAACTTTTTCAATACTATAGATCGATGCAAATCTTTAGCTAATTGGTGTCTTTGATAATGAGCCATAGTATCCTGTGAAATTTATATTGAAATATTGTTAGTTTAACTTTGTATCACATACATTAAAATATGGCAATGCTATTTGTAGTCTAAATGTACAAGGAATATTTCGTTAAGTACCTGAAAATCTATATATTGCAGCCAAAGTTCAACATCATGTGGGTTTTCTGTTAGTTGTTCATTAAATTCTCGAGTTTTACATTTTTGCTCTTCTTCCAAGTTCTTACACCAAGAAGATACACTTTCGTCTGCTTCATCATCTTGCTTCATTGAAGCCTCTTTCTCATTTGTCTTCTTAATAACTGTATCTTTTTTCTTTATTATTTCTACAGAGTCAATATTTTTAACATAATATCTATGAAATGCGTCTTTTTTTGATTGTTTGTCCTTAACATAACCGAGAAATTTTTCGCTAATGTCATAATATGGCCTTGCCCTGGAGCAATATGTATTTATATTATTATTCCCTTTATCTCTATGTCTGTCTTCAAAGTAAACATTCTTGACATCCAATTCATAATCTAATTTATATCGTTTACCCTCATGTGTACGTCGTTTTCTATCTGTTTTTTTACTTTTGTTGATTTTCTGTTTTGTGTGAACTTTTGTATCTTGAGAAACTGGTTCAGAAATTGGTACTTGCTTTTCTGCACCAAGTAAAGATTCATGTAAGGACTCGTCTGATGAAGAATACAGGTCAGGTTTTATTTTAATCGGAATTTGCGTTTGAAAACTTGAATTCGACAACCATTCGGTGGAAACATTATCTGAAATTAAAGCGTGCTATCATTGTTTGAAATTAAACGTACAATAAATATCAAAAAGTACACTAATTTCGAAGTGAAAAATAAAAAACAAAAATAATTTAGTACCAATTTAATTGTTTTCGCAATGTAAACATTGATCAAAAATTGAAATAATTACCTATATTACCGCTACTTGTACATTCGTTTGAATAAGCAGGAAAAAGAGACATTTCTTTTCTTTTACTTCTTTTCGTTTTCTTTGCGGCCCAAAAATATGAGGTTTTTCTTTCAACCTTTTCTTTCTAACCTCTTTCTCAACTTACGATTTTCGAATAGTCGGTAAGAGCGTGGTTCTTCTTTCAGTAGGTAATTACGATCTTCTATTACTAACCGTACTTAGTTTGATTCAGCTGTTTCTTGCTTCAACCAGGCGGCGTCGCTGCAAACAGTTTGAACAGCTGTTTCGCAATCGCAACTATTGACATTTAATTTTACTCGGACAATTAACTATTTACCTTTTTTTAGTTCCAAGAATTAGAAAGAGATAGAGAGCAAGTAGAGATGAAGTCAATCTATACACGCAATATAGAAATCACACATGTGAATCATGTGAGATGATACAGGATAATCTGCGGTTCCACGTATGTGACAGGTGATTGACAAGTGGCCGATGAGAGCGCAGGAAAAGAAAGGAATAAAGAACGATTAAGTATTCTGAATTGTTTGGGGCGCACAATTTAACTATGTTTATGTTAAGTGACACATCGTTTTCTCAGATAAAGCTGAATGACAATGCGCTTTGAATGATAGTGTGCTAGATAGGATACGACCACTGTCACGAAATCATAAATACCGATTACATAAATATTTTTTTTCCTTCAAGGCAAAATATATAATGTAATAAGGAAAGGAAGTATAATCAAGAAAACAACATTGATTAGTGGACAGGCGTATTAATTTCAAGGAGAGACGCTGAAAGCAACAGACAGTGAAAGCAACACTATATCTCCTTCGTCGATCAGTGGATGACATAACGTTTCTATTTTTCTTTTCATTTCTCATTGTCTTTGGAGTCTGTTGATCGTACAAATGTTTCGAAGATGCAATCTTGTCAAGCAGCTTTGTGGTGTCGCGAGAGCATCAACGGAAGCTGTTGCAGTCGAGGAGATGCCATCTCGGGTAAGCGTCACCGCATCCGTTAGAACACAGTCTATTTTTAAGATTTGACGTTTCTGTTAAAAATTTTCGTCATGATTGAACGAATATTATGATTGATTTAACAAATATCTCATTTATTGCAGTTACAGCAGCTCAGAACGAAATTACGGGAAGATAAGCATGGAATACTCACAGATACATTCGGGCGCAAGCATACGTATCTTAGAATCTCCCTCACTGAACGTTGCAACCTTCGCTGTGAGTCTTTTTAAAATTGTTTAAAAATTCTCTTGAATTTGTCGAATGTCGTTTAACACAGAATATCATGTTTTTTAACACGACAGGTACATATTGTATGCCTGCGGAGGGCGTGAAATTAACTAAAAAGGAAGGAATTCTGAGAACAGATGAGATAATACAAATAGCTGATCTTTTTGTCAAAGAAGGAGTGCGTAAAATACGTTTAACCGGCGGTGAACCCACAATTCGTAAAGATATCATTGACATTGTCGGTAAATTTTACTTTTTCAGTGTAAACGTGTTTAATTAATTTAATATTGAGTCTAATTCAATTTTTAAAATTTATATATAATTTACGTTTTAGGACAACTAAAGCAATTGAGAGATCTAGAACAGGTTGCGATTACAACCAATGGATTAGTTCTGACGCGCCAGTTGCCAGCTCTTCAGAAAGCAGGATTGGATGCACTCAATATATCGCTAGATACTCTGAAAGAAGAACGCTTTGAATTGTTTACTCGCAGAAAAGGTTGGGCAAGAGTGATGGCTTCCATAGATCTTGCTGTTCAACTTGGCTATAACCCCGTGAAAGTAATTTAATTCAAAAGCTATATAAATTTTAAACAAATTGTTACAACGGTGTCTCATGTAATCATTGTGTTTAAATGGTTAGATTAACTGCGTGATGATGCGAGGTCGCAACGACGATGAAATAATTGATTTCATCAATTTTACAAGAGACCGGCCAGTCGATGTACGTTTCATAGAATATATGCCTTTTCAAGGAAACGAGTGGAAAGAAAATAAGATGGTTTCTTTTAAAGAGATGAAAACAATAATCCGAGAAAAATATCCCGATTTCCAAGCTCTTCCAAATCAGCCTAATGACACGTCCAAGGTTTGTTTTTTCTAATTGCTAGTACTTTACTTGATAATTGAGTTAATTGAAATTGTATTATACATAATGTTCTCTCGGCAGGCCTATCATGTGCCAGGATTTGTAGGGCAGGTTGGATTCATTACATCCATGAGTCAACACTTCTGTGATTCGTGTAATCGCTTAAGAATAACGGCGGATGGCAATTTGAAAGTGTGTTTGTTTGAAGGAAAAGGCGAAGTCTCACTTCGAGACGCTTTGCGAAATGGAATTTCGGAAAACGCGCTTAAGGATTTAATAAGAGTAGCAGTATCACGAAAAAAGAAGCAACACGCAGGTATGCTATATATATGTATCGATCAAAGCGGAAAGAACGCGCGGTATTTAATAATGAAACTTCAATCCTTTTATTAAAAAAATCTTAGTAAAAATATTATATTTTTAATTATTTAAAGATCTTGTTCTCTTTTTGCTTTCTTGTCTCTTTCAAATTTTTTCCCTATTATCTGTCTATTTATTTTAAATAAACTGTAGCAGTATCGACAAACCGAGTTTATATCTCTGCTGTTTCAGGCATGTTCAATCTTACTCAAATGGAAAATAGGCCAATGATACTGATTGGAGGTTAATTGATCGTTATAAATAACTATTAAAATATGTTCGGATTTGTCGAAACGTGCACAGACATTATCGTAAATTGCTATGTTAATTATATTAAGCCTTTTAGAATTAATTTTACAACATATTTACGTTGCAGCAAGTCATAAGAAGAAACTACCTTGCATAATGAGTAATACCATATCGATACAGTACAAATATTTTCCATATATACCTAAGTACCTTAAAAGTGATGCAAATATTAGAATGTATTCGTCATTATCACATATAGACGAGACCGGTAAAGCGAGTATGGTGGATGTCGGTTCAAAAAACGATAGCAAACGCATAGCAATAGCAAGGGGATACATAAGAATAGGTTCTGTAATCAGTAATTTGATCGCGGAAAACAATGTAAAGAAGGGCGATGTGTTATCGGTAGCTCAATTAGCCGGTATTATGGCAGCAAAACGTACCTCTGATCTCATACCTCTGTGTCATCCGCTCTCCTTGTCTTATGTAAACATACGCTTAAAACTGAACGAAGAATCGCACAGAGTCGAAATCACATCGGAGGTTAGATGTACTGGCAAGACCGGGGTCGAAATGGAAGCTTTAACCGCTGTGAGTATAGCTGCTCTGACAATCTATGATATGTGTAAATACGCAGCCAGTCCTGGCACAATGCAAATATATGGTATAGAATTGGTGTCGAAAACAGGTGGTACAAAAGGTAATTTTACAATAGATAAAACGTAGGCTGATACCTTTGTCTAGTCGATAACACGAAATTAACGAATTATTGACAAAATAAAGATTTTCATTCTGCTGTGAATAATTAAATAATATAGAACGGAATACAATTTTATATGTATCTTTTAACTTGTAATCTTCCAAAAAACCTTAAATACGAGTATATTTAAAGAAATATTTTAATATGTTTATACTTGTGCGTATAATATTTATTATACGCACAAAATTTTATATATATTTTATATTGCAAAGAGGGATAATTATATTTTACATATATATATGTATATAATGTCAATGAAAGCATTACTAAATCTTATATATTGTCATTTTTTAATTATTGTTAACTTTTGAATATTTTTGTAATTGTATATGTGTAATTAGTGTGTGTAAAGATATAAAACATTATTTGAACTACGTTCGGTTTGGATGCACGTTTCAACGTTTCTACCTTTATTTTACATTTAATGAACGATAAAGATAAAATGATGATTATAAGTGCGTGAATATCTAAACTGAACGCAATCTTGTTACGCATAATAATGAAAAGCATAATTTTAGCGTTTTATTAATTGATATCCCATAGTCAATAATGTTTTTCTTTTTACAATAAAGGGATTTTTAATTATTAGATTTAAATATAAATAAAAAAGTTTTAAATAGAACGATTGTAATTATAGCAAAAGTCATGAATCAGATCAGGTATATTAAACAAATATATGTATTTATATTATAAATAGAAGATGCGTTTTGTAAATTTAAACAAATGTATATTTGTTTAAATTAAAAGGGTAACATCACGTAAATATTCCTACAATTATGTATGAAATGTTAGAGACATGTAAATAATTTATCGTCGCGAAAGCCTCAGAAGAGAAATTAGCAACAGAGTATAATAACGGGGAATAACACGATGGTGCTTGTATTGTTGCACCTGTAGAACTATCTCCCGAGTTGCGGCTTTTAATAAGTATTTAATATTACCGCGGGGATGAACGCAGGGGGATAAAAGCGCTCGTTGAAGGAAATACAAAGGGTTGGTAATATTTAAGCGGTTCCTGCTAAGAGTTATTTTATATTACAAATCACAAATGATTCGTATTGTATTTTTTTAAGAATATTGTTACGTTGTTGAAAGATTGTATATCGAAATATATTGTTTAATATACAAGAGAAAGGAGCTTTCTTGTGTGTATACGTCCGTCCCTTTATTTTCTTATTTATGCGCAAGAGGAGATTGCCTTAGAAAAATAGCGAATACGCCGTAAATCGCTTTATGCCGTGAACGCTTTGCGAATGGATAGAAAAGATAGCTAAGATAGGAGAGCTCGGCGCTTCGGGATGAGATGTGTATGTATGTATGTATGTCAATCGCTCCGGTAAATCGTGATAACGTACGGCCGCGTTGTCGCAGGAGTCCCGCGCGGTCGCTGGGATAAATACATCTCGCCGGTTGAGGGAGATCGCATATCCGATGTCGGGGACCTCTCGGCGCAATCGCACGTGCCCTGATAGAACGGGCACACGGCGCCACCGTGCCAGGATTTCCGAGCTTTTTCCCATCCCCCGCGAGGAGCGAAATTCAGTGCTCGGCCCGCAACCGTGTCGCATTACTCCTGATCGCTCCGTGCGATCGCGGTCGAGTCGCGTGGAGATCGGAAGGACGAGCGTTAACGATTGTTATCTAATTAAACGGTCTCTGAAGACTGTTACGTTTTTGTTTCCGGTACAATTTTTAACAACAATAACTTTCAACAATTAAATTTTCATTTAAAAAAAATGTAAGAGATCGGCTAATTATGGGGACGATCTTCCGATATTGCAAGGACGGTGAGAACGATCTCGATTCGCGATAATGTGAAAAGCGAGGACACATCGGCACGAGCGGCAGTGACGGCATTATGTCAACGATCGGCGTGATCCCGCGGGTGTTTGACGAAGGACCGCGAATAGAGAGGGATCGTTCGGATCGGACGGTGGTGGGAAGGTCGCTATCGGGCGCGGAACGGCACGTGAATTAGATCGAGAGATGTGCGCGAAGTGAAAGATGGCCCCGTTCCACGGCATGGCTCTGCTGCTCCTGGGAATCGGATACCTGTTACACGCGGAACCACTTCACAGCGAACGCGGCATCGGTAAATGTCCCGTGCTTCCTGCCCGTCCCCTCCCATTTCCAGAGAACCCTCTTCCGGCCCCGACACGTAATTTCAGTTGTACTCGAAGTAATTTCGGTCGCGCGAAGAGTGCACGGGAGAGTGGCGTAAATCATTTTTATTATTGAATTTATCCCACTGTTGGGGGCTAAGAGGATAAAATCGAAATATGCCGTTCGTAATATATTTAAGAATGAAATATTTCGACGCGTCGTTCGCAAAAATTGGAGATAAAACTTATACGACTATCGAAATTCACAAAAAATTTGATTTTACAAAGTTAAGTTTTTTTGTTCCGTCTTTTTTAAAAATAAAATTATAACGAAAGAACTTTTTTATATCCATTTTCTAAATTAATTTTAGCCGGAAAAGAAATTTTGCATAAATTGAATTGAAATTCGCTGATGATTATTTAATTCTGTATAATTTTATAATTCTTATTTTACATTTCACATTTTCTTTTAATTTTATATTTTACATTTTTAGATTTTTTTTCAGCTTTAGATTTTGCAATCCAGATGAAAATACGAAATTAATTAATTAACGTAAAAGTAAGATTATACTTTTGAGAGTTATAAGTATATTTACTTTAATTCTCATTAGTTAACACATATATTTTTTGAAGCTAGAAGAGCAATTAATTAGTAAAGCAATTATTAAAGAGTCTATGATTTTAAACGAAGTTGTACCTGATAGAGAATAATTAATAGCCCTTTTAGAAAATGATATTTGAATGAAAGATTATGACTAAAAAACGAAGATTATGACAAAGATAATTTATTTAAGTATATTTTTTTAATTCTTGTTTTTCTAACATATAATTTTAGCGTTTTCATCCAAGAGTAATATGTATATTTTGAGTTCATAAAACAACACTATTAATATTACTAATTTCTCAAGTCTCTATTCATTAAATCACTGTTTTGCTTTCCAAAGTTACTTAAACTCGACGTTCTTATACTATCACATACCATTATATACACATCAAGAATAATATGCATTCGATAAACATATTTGTGCATGTTATTTTCCATTAAAGATATTAAAATTTCGAAATATATTAAATAAACCAAAAAAAAGCAAGTCAAATTAAATACCTGCGTAAAGTTTGAGATTTTTAATTAATTATGTAATATTAAGTGATTATTTAATATTAATCCTACTTTTTCTAAAAATGATTATCTATACGAATGCATGCATATGTATGTAAAACAAACAGTTGATGCATCCAATATTCCGTATTGTAAACATTCCAATATTTTTTGTCGGAGACTTCGAGTTCATTTTTTAAACCGCGTTTCCTGTAATTCTTTCCGACGAAAGAATTACGTCAGCGGAGGAGAATAATAGGATGTCAACGCATGGTTTATGTCTATTTCAGTGCTCTTTCATCTCAACGACGACACATTCGGCAAAGGGGAAAAGTCGCAGCGCGGCCCAAAGAAGACCTATTTTTTCAATGACACGCCGCAAAAATTAACGGTCGCCATAGGACAGACCGTCGTTCTATCATGTCGTGTTAAAAATCTAGGAAACAGAACTGTGAGTCTCATCAGAGCTCTGCTCGATCTCACTGATCTCGAGTGTAGCTCGCGTGCTTGCGATAATTTAATGTGCTTGCGCAACCCCTTCGCTGCTGGCAAGTCAAGCGTAACGTGTTCATTAGAGTGTTCATTTAGATTCGATAGAGTTTCAAAAATGGCTTTCTTTGTACAACGATAATTCGTCGTGACTTTTTTACGCGGTGAAAGAGTAGAAGAGAGGGGTACGTCTGGAAAAAGTGAAAACCTCAGCATTTTCTTATTCATGAACCGGTGCCAAAAAGTCGAAATCGATATTCTTATCGTTCGGGACGCCTTCTTTATAGAATGAATCGCCGCGCGCCGTTACGACAACTCTACGGCAGTTTAAAAAGGAGGAAAACGCGCGTTCGCTTCCTCGTAGTCTTGGACAATTTCCCGCGCTGTAGAACCCTCAATTTTTCTAACTGTCTCCAAATGTTTGGAAAGGAATACAAATTTTCCCGTCGGAATTGTTAATTATACGTCTTTGTATCTCTACGAATTCCCTCGGGTCTCGAGACAAGATCGACGGAAAACTTCATTATGATACGAGGTAAGGAACGTGCGTGCGGACGGGTTGAATCAGTAGAAGCA